CACATCCCCCTCTGCAGCAGAGCTCCTGTATGAGTGACTGGCCTCCAAACCTTACATTCACATAGGCACAGGAACTAGGGTTGGCGGGTGCTGCAGGAAACATAGGTTTGCTGGTTTCCACTGCTTTGCTGGTCATACACCTAGCTATGGCCTCAGCCTTGGCCCCCTTATGCTATCCTTGTCCCTCCCTCCTGGAGACACAGCCCGGCTCCCAGCCCCAACTCTGGGGTAAGAGGGCTAGTTTTCAATACCCACACTATTAAAAATGTTCCAGCGCCTTGTGGAGGTTATTTACATTACAGAGAAAAGCAGGTATGGTTATGATGATGAAACAGAACGATGATCTTTCCCTGGCCTGTCCCTTTCCACAGCATGAAGTCTGGTGGTTTCCACATGTTCCCACAAGCTGGTTCCTATTGTGGAAGGGAAGCTAATGTAATGGAGGCAGCATTCCCTCTTTACCACCCCCACATGTGGCTTTACCATTTTTCATCCCTTTCTGTGGAATCAAAAGAAAACAATACAGCTGTGAGTTTCAGACTTAACCAGAACTCTCAACCTCCTGCGTCATTTTAACAAAAGCTGATTTGAGTGTGAATCATGTTAAGTGCTTTGTTTGTCCTGCAACTCTGTTTTCCTCCTGATAACTTCAAAATATTGATGGGAGTTTCTTTAGACCTGAAATACCTTTTACTTAGCAGCTGATGGTGAAAAAACCTTAACTGTTCACAAAGCTGAACGAACAGTCTGTGTTGCACTTTCCTTCTTCAATTGGGAATCTTAGGACAGTATCATAGAAAAGATGACATGAGAATTCACTGCTTCAAGAAAATAAGTGTTTATGGCCACAGAAAAAGAAGTGTGGTTAAATTTCTCAAGTTAAAATATATGCTGTTCTGAAAGTGCCACATTAACATATCAGCTGATAACTCCAGCTCTGGAACATCTGCCTGGGGGTTGCCACATCATGATGAGCATATGTTGCCTTCAAAGAATTTAGACAAAAGGGGAAAGGGAGGTTTCTTAATATAATTCAAATCTCTGTGTGTGTGTGTGTGTGTGTGTATACACACACACACACACACACACAGAAAGAGATTTATATATTACACAAGAGTTCTGTGGCATAGATCCATATCTTTATCACTAATGCAATTCCCCTTGATTGTCCTGACAGTCCTAATAAGTTTCAAGTGATTTGGCCTTTGCTGTATCCTGCAGCTGAAAAGTCTTGGCAAGAAATAAATGGAAACACAGAGAACTTTAATTTTCTTCTTCATATATTCTCAGGGGCGGCTTTAAGTCTTTTGGCACACTATCCAGGCATTTGCAAAAGGCATAGTGTAAATAAAAATTAAACACCAGTGTTATCTTCAGGCAATCAGAAAGAAATTGCAAAAAGATATGCCACGTATGTATAATTGTGCGCGTTCTTGATAAAAAAGGTGCAAGAGAGACATTCTTTCTATTAGGAGAGGGAAGAAAGGATATCCTTGCTTCTCTTCTTATTTTCAAACAGGAAATTAGTGATATACTTGAAACATCTCCCAAACTTTGTTAATGTTATCATTTTCATGGTATGTTAGCAGAAGAATGCAATGGCTGTCTACCAGAGGTCAATAAGTTTAGGGCAGTAGTCACCGACCAGTAGATCAGGATCTACTGGTAGATCTTGGAGCCTTTGACAGGTGATCCTGACTGGTTTGACCAAGAGACTATCAAGTGCTGGCACTTCTGCCCCTCCCCTACTGCTGCTCATCTCCTGCCCTTTGCCTTGGAGCTGCCTCCCCCTATCCCCAGGAGCCTCCTGATTGCTGTGCAGGGCAGGAGAGGGAGAGGAGGGAGCAGTGGCAGATATAGGGCAGGGCGAGCAGGGCGGCTGCCCTGGGCCCCGCGCATCAAGAAGCCCCGCGCATGAGCCGTGTCAAAGGGGGGACCCTGTGAAATTGTGCTGCCCTGGGCCCTGCAAAATCCTCATCTGCCCCTGGGAGGGAGGGCCACTGATGTCAAGGTGCCCCCACTCCCACCCTGTATCCTAGCTCCACAGAGCACTGGGGGTGGGGGGGAGCACACAACAGGACTTGGGATGCAGTTTGCTGGCTGCTTTTAGGAGTGGTGCAGGTGCAGGGCCAGGGCAGGGGTAACCCTGCTTTAGCCCCACTGCACCACCACCTGACGTAAGCAGTGCCCAGTTGGAGCTCACATCCTGAAACCCCACCCCAGTCACAAACCCCCTCCTGCTGGACCCCTAAGTCTCTGCCCTATCTCCAAGCACCCCTGAATCCAAACACCCTCCCGGAGCCTTCACCTAGAACCGCCTCTTACACCCCAACTGCCTGCCCCAAGCTCAGCTCAGAGCCCCTCTCACACTCCAGATCCCTTAATCCAAGACCAGAGCCTGTACCCCATCCCACAGCCCCTGCCTGATAAAAGGAAGGAAGGCTGGGAGAGGAAGAGAAGATGGAGTGAGCAGGGGCAGGGCCTCGGAGAAGGGGCATAGGAGGCAGGGCAAGGGTATTCATATTTGAGGTAGATCTTGGATTGCACTTAAATGCAAAAAGTGATCTCATACTTAAAAAGGTTGGAGACCACTGGTTTAGGGTGCTTTGTGATCAATATTGAAAAGAGGGGCACTCATCTAGATTAACTTTATACTTTTTAAACCGATACTTTAAAAAAGTTCTAAGCTCATACTGAAGACCAATTATTTAATTTTTCTCTCAGGAAAGTAATTCTTTATAAAACTTTCTCCCTTACGTAGCTCAGCTATTAGGTCATTTGTAAGACTGTAGCAAAGCAACTCAGCACATCCAAGCAGCGCGTACATCACTCAGTCAGAGTCAGACATATTTCTGAGGGGCAACCATGTTAGTCTGTTTCAGAAAAAACAACAAGTCGTCCTGTGACACCTTAAAGACTAACACATTTATTAGGGAATAAGTTTTCATGGGTTGGAGCCCACTTCATTATATGCCCCTCCCCCAAAAAAATTGTTAGTCTTTAAAGACTAACAAAAAGACTTGTTGTTTGTTTAGAATCTGACATGTTAATTCATTTCATTTTTAGGAAAATAAAACTCCAAATTCTGATATCCTTATTAAGATTGAGTAGTACTGTACTACACCAGCAGTCTCGTTGAAATAAGCGGTACCACTCACAAGACAAGAAACTGGTCAACCTCAGTAAGTGTATCAGAATTTGGCCAAAACTAAAATAAATAAAATCAGTAACTGCCTAGAGCTAGCTCATTCATATCTTATGCAAGTTATCACCATTGCCTTCAAAAGGATCAGTATTTTCAATGGACTACCTATGTGAGTAAGTTGAGAATGATTTGACCCAGTCTATGCAACTGTGGTTTTACTGATTTGAGATTTTAAATTGATTTGACTGACTCCCTTTACCTAATGAAGTCAGTGAGACCTCCCCTGTCCTTGAGGTGAGAATGAATATGGCTCTTAGAAACAACTTTACATATATAATCAATGCTGGATCCCAATAAGATCCCCAACATGCCCAAGTCTGATTTTTTTCATGTAATTTGCTGTAATATTATTTGTTTAAATTACTAACATTTTAGAATATGTTTCTAGTTCCTAAGGATTTTTTCCCCTAAAGGAAATTAGGGTTTCCTGCAATTGTACATATAATTTGAGTATTCAGTTAGCCCAAGTGCACAGGCAAAATCAGTTATTTTAAATAGCCATTACAAGATTTACTTTGTCATTATTTATTAAATACTCCATTTGTGCCTAGTTCCTTCTTTTATTGAAGTCAAGGTTAAAACTCAGTAGGGTCCTCTATGCAGAGGGTCCAACAGAACTGCCAAACCCCTGGGCAAGTGGGAGGGCTGGTTCTATGCTCCTGGAAGGGAAGGGGCCTTGGGCTGAAGGGGCAGGGATAAGGGCTAGCATCTCCCAACCAGCCCTTCCAGTGGCTCCTGGGGAGGATGCAACATGGGGCTCCAGTGAGGATTTAAAGCAGGGGTGAGGAAACTAAGGCCAAGGGCCAGATGTGACCCACAGCTTCCCTGGATCTGGCCCCTGAGACTCAGGGATCCCTCCCCCCCCAGCATTGAGGAGCCTGTCCCAGTGCTTCATCCCCGTCATCTCACCGTGGGGTTGGAGCACAGAAAAATCAATTAGCCTGGGATCCCCTAGGCTCTGGTGTGTGAGAGGAATGTGGGGAGTGTCTTTCTGCTTCTCAGTCGGGTGCCACAACAATGAGGTTTTGTTTGGGATTTTTTGCTACTCACTTGTGTGTGGCCCGAGCAGATTTTTCTATGGATCAGCGGCTCCAGACCCTAAAAAGTTTCCCCACCTCTGATATAACGGGAACAGGGATCCAGCCACCATCTCTGCCTCAATAGCAGTGGTGGCAGCTGGGAGCCCTGGGCCCTTTGGAATTACCAGGTCCTGTGGCAACTATCCCCTTTGTGCCTCCCTCTCAGCAAGCCTGTCTGTGTATGCAGCTGCATGGACAAATTAAATGTGCAGTTGTACATACATCTTCATGCACATCCACAGGTGCCTCACTTTTTGTAAATCAAGCCATAACTCTACTGAAGGCCACCCTTCCAACACATTTAGAACACGACTTTTGGCAGTTAATGGACCAGTCCGACGTGACTCTCAGTGCACAGCTGTATAATGTTCCATTCACCATTCAGTGCATAATAGACACCAAGATACTCAAGTGACTAATATAGTATGGGGAGTCTGAATAGTTAAGATTGATCAGATGAGACCTTTCAAATAAAAAGTAAGTTCTTGCCTAATAGGTAATTAAAATGTTAATGACCCAGGTACCTAGAAAAAGGGCTGAATTTTAATCGGCTGCATTAGACCACACCATTATTAACTGAAAGTTTGCACAATAAGAAAGAAAGTGCTACTTTCTATCAGTTTAAGTGAAGTCCATTCCTTGACTGCTAATTGAAAAGTATTCCTGTTAAAATCTGGTTCAGAAGGCTTCTAATTATTTCCTCCTCTCCATATAAGGGATAAGAACATCTGATGATGACCAGACCTAAAGAAGAGTTTGAGTAAGCCCGAAAGTGTGTCTCTTTCACTAAAATGTCCAATAAAGGATGCTGCCTCGTCTACCTGGGCTATCTACTGAATTTCTGATGTTTTTCAGTTAGTTAATGAAATAAAATCTTTCAGTTCATTTGCAATATGAATAGAAGCAGTCATCATTTCCATTTCTGAAAGTCACAGTGATGCCATGGGACAAATTACAGGTGGAGAGATTAAGAAGAAAGACGAAAAAACTATGATGCCTAACCAGTCTATTCAACAAGACATTTTTTTAAATGAGTGATTTAAAAATGTCAACACTTCTATATTTGATAAAGACAAAAAACATAAGTATTTTGATTTAGATTTGGATGGGAACACTTTACCACCAAGTTAGAAATTACTCATGAAGTGAGAGCAAAAGATCCCTTCTACAGCTATAAAACATGATAGCAATCTGCTTTTAGGAGAAAGGAGGCTATCATGTTATAATGTAATGTATCAACCGATACCTAAGCTGTGAATGATGTCCAGCTGGATCTAAAACATGGCTAAAATATGGAGAGGAAGAAATTTGTTGATAACAGCTGACACAGAGCAGTGAAAAAGAACATCAACATCAAACAGCTGGCACATAAAATTGGTGGCATTTGCCTTCTTTTGGTTTTGCACAAAGTAAAAGTTTTTCCCTATACGATCCTATTTCACTAGGAGGGTGGTGTGGCACTGCAATGGGTTACCTACAGAGGTAGTGGAATATCCATCCCTAGCGGTTTTTAAATCCCAGTTTGACAAAGCCCTGGCTGGGATGATTTAGATGGGATTGCTTTTGGCAAGGGGTTGGACTCAATGACTTCCTGAGGTCTTTTCCAACCCTATGATTCTACCATAAAGGAAACTGAGCAGAAATTTAAATGCTAGACCTGAATACACTGAAATTTCGAAGGATAGTGGCAGGGCTGGCCCATGAGCATAGGCAGACTCGGCGGTCGCCTAGGGCGCCGCCTTCAATGGGATGCCTGATGATGACATCACGCCATTGATGAACGTTCAGGCAGGGGCACCAATCGTGCGTTCCACCTGGGGCGCCAGCTGCCGCAACCAGCTTCAAACCGCTCCTGGATAGTGGCAAAGTCAAGATCTACTCTACATGGATCAAGTTTAATCTCCATTTTCTACCCAGTATGAGTAGAGTGAATATATAACAACAAACAAAAATCAATATTTACTATTCATTATGTAGATCCTATAATGATAGGGTATAATCCTGCTCAGGGCAGAGTGCCCTTACCTATCAGGAAAGTCAGGAGAAGTGGAGGTCACACAGTAGCACCAGCTCTGGCACCACTTACCATCCCACAGAACTGAGCCCATAGCATGTACAGTACTTCAAAAGTGACAGGACTTTGATATTTCTAGATAATATTTATATCTGTGCAAAACGTGTTCTATGCTACCCAATCAGAACAGTACAATTTGACATGCACTTGACACTGTTCATGATCATGCTATAGAAAAAAACCCTTTGGTCCTGGCAGTCATATAAGTTGAGATTGCAGGGCTAAGCGGTCATGAAAACAGCTGTTACTTGGGAAATGAACACATCAGATTCCAAAAATTGAGTCACAATAACCATAGAATCTCATAGTGTCATTTTTCTAGTCACTTTGTTGACTAGAAGCCCTTGATCAAGAGCTGGCTGATAGCATTTCCTTTCCAAGAAGAATGGTTTAAGTGATGTTTAGCTTAAAAGAAAATTGCAGCAAGTAAGTATGAATAACAAGTTTCTAGGTCACAAAAGCCATTACCACCTATTGAGCTTAGAATCACTAAAAGGTTACAGTAAATGGTGAATTCTGGGTACAGCACAGGAAAGCCAGTGACTGATCTTTAAGGAAGGTAGATATTTAAGTAAAACCAGACTATGGTCAATGTTGGCTGGCTTCCACTGAGAAGACAGGGAAAGAAGAAATATAAAATGAACAAATTAGAAAGAAAAACAAACATACAATTCGAAAGCAGCTTGAATTCTCTCCAACTTTAAACAAAAGGAATATCATATTTTGAAAATCATAGGAAGACATTACAGTTAAAAGGGGATTAGCCTCTCTGGATAAATGTGATAATGGTTTTAAAGTCTGGAAAAAGGAAGACTGGCCTAGTGACTAGGATATGAGCTTGAGACCTGGGTTCAAATCCCCCTAGTACCATGACAGATCTCCTGGGTGACCTGTCAGGAGTCTTAGATGCTCTATACCTCCATTTCCAATCTGAAAAATGGGAGTGATAGCACTTCCCTACCTCACCAAGTGTTATTGAGATGACTCCGTTATAAATTGTGAGGTGCTGGTTTGCAAAAGTGCTGGAGTCTAACACCTTGCCAGAAACAGTACAGAACTGACTGCAATGTTCAGACAGTCATGGGCAGCTAGTGACCTAGCTCCCAGCCCCTTCCTTTGTGCCCCCCTCTAACTGCCTCACTCCCACAGTAGTTGAAAACATCTACTGTGTGGCCCATGACCCCAGCATTGCTCGGCTGGGGGCAGAGAGGCAAGACCCCAGCCCTGGTGTCCTGGAGCTTCAGTGCCCACAGTTCCTGGGCAGTGAAGTCACTGCGTCCATAGCTCCAGGGCTCTGGGCCCCAAAGCACTGGGCAAACAGGCAATGCATCCAATCCTAGCTCCCTATGAAAAGTATACTAGTCTGAGGGAGGGGCCACAATAGGCTGTTCGGGGTGCTCAGCCTCCCACTGCCTACAATACCTGATGCCTATGCTATCCTATCAACACTGTATTAACCCATAACTTTATCCCTCCTGCCTCAATAACAGAGAGACTGGGGATCCCACAGTGGCCAAAGTGACCACTTGGGCTTCTGTGAGCACATACTAGGTGGGGTGGGTGTGCCTATGCAAACAAGATCAGCCCCTGACGTCTTTTTGCACCACTCGCCACAATTCACCACCAGATGTCAGGGTAGAGCTTATCCTGACGCTGCTTACATCTGTATAAGCATACATAGATTACAGAAACTCCCATAGTGCTCCTCTCTGATCTCAAAAGTATAAGAGCCTTCAGAACAGGCTAGAACTAGAGCCAATATCTGTTCAGTATGGAAAGGAGAATGCGCGCGCGCGCACAGACACACACACACATTTTTACCTCACACTTCATGTTAGAATGAAATCACAGTGTCGATCAAAACAAATGAAAGTTTGGAACTGTCTGGAAATGAGGGATTTTAATTGATTCTCATGGAAAGCCTTAAAACAACTCAGGCTTGCTTGAAAATTCTGTGACTTTTTCCAGTGTACCTGATGGCTCTTTGATAGCCACAATATGCTAGTGAAGGGACTATATCTCTGAGGCAGGCTATATGACCAAAAAGTTGCTGCTGGCAATGACCAAAGAGGACTTCAATCCTCCTTAGGGATGTATTATTGAGAACTGGCCTATTACTGATAAAAATCAAACCCTCAAAAATGCCCATCAGTCCCTGTTCACATATGAAATATCTCCAGTCTCGTGCTGTCTTGTTTAAGCAACCAGACTAGAGAGTGAAGCTATCTGTTAGCCTGGCCAAAAGAACATTTAACTCAAGCAGAACAGCTTCAACAGACATGAAAGCAGTAATCCGAGGGTTAATACAGAACAGAGGCAGGCGCAGGTACCAGGACAGACTCAAGTCCATACTTGTGACAGTCTGAGCCCACAACCAAACTTCTGGGCCACTCCTTGCCTAATATTTAAGAAAACCACTTCCACAGGCAAGAGGGAAGCAAGCCCCACATCACGCAGGGAACATGCAGCACAACTGTGTTTGAAACCCCTTCTTAAAGCAGGCAGAGAGAGGATGCAAACACACAGCACCACTAAGCAAGGTAGGTAGTTTAGCTACTGGACCTCAAATTCATAGTTGCTGCTGCCCAAATAATATTTAGCTTAAGTTCAAGAGGTTCCCAGCCACCATCATCACAGCTAGCTATATAACCCAGGGATGGGCTGTAGCACATCCCTCTTCCTACACACATTTTTCAGGGAGCAGAGAGGAGTTGCTGGGTCAAATCCCCTTTAACACACAAGAGAAGCCCCACCACTGACCTAGAGATGGAGCATCATGCATCTTCCATCCCCATCCTAGTTAATTAAAGAGGAACAGCTTCAATGCGTTAACATTGTGGGAGCCCTCATCACTGTACCCTATGACCCAATGATTAGGGTATTCACTTGGTGTGGTGGCATGTTGAGTACCCTCCGATCCTGCACCCCATCTGCAGCATGATGAGACTCTGCCAGCCAGTAGAATAGAGAGGATTTATTGCTTCTGTGAGGTATAGCACAGCCTAGGTTCTATGTGAGCATCCAAGTGAGGGATCAGGCAGCCTCAGACCCCTGGGGCTAGGGGGCCCCGGGGCCCCAAGCCCCCAGTACTCAGCTTAGTCTCTTCTCTTCTTGTTTCTCAGCCAAGATTGACTCCCCAACTCTGCCCCCAGCCAGGTGGCCGTCTCCACCTCCCTTCCTTTGTCTCTCCCTCTGGGAGGAGCCTTGTTATCTGCTCAGGCTGGGACTAGGTGTCTGGGCCAATACACATGTGGGTGAGTCAGTGGGAATCACACATGACAGTACAGCCAGGTGTGGACACTGGGTTACAGAGCAGACAGCCCCTTCCCCCCCTCACTATGTCACACTTGGGCAGCAGGTGAACCTTCTTCAACGGCCTTCTTACAAGGCAAGGGGGAAATTAAGACAGCACGAATGGCCAGACGAGGTCAGACCAATGATGATGCTAGCCTTAGTCACCCATTTTCAAATAATGGCTGATGCCAGACGCTTTAAAGGCAATGGACAAAAAGAGATCAATTATCAAATGATCGGTCCTCTGTCAGCCACTCCCAGCAGCTTGCAGGCTGAGGTTTAGGGATGTCTGGAGCATAGGACTGTGTCCCAGACTATCTTGGCTAATAGCCCTTGGGGGAGGTATGCAATTGCTCACTTTTTTTTAATTGAACCCACTTACAGGTTGACCTTCACAATGTCGACTAGCATGGAGGGCCACATTCTGATTGAGCATTGCAGGAAGATATATTACCTCATCAGAAAACATATTGTATTTGATCGCTCTCTGCAGCTTAAGTCTTCA